AGAAAATACATTGAACAGTCAAATCATAGTATAAAAACAGATGGGCTGGTTCTACTCTTTTTGGCAATTTTCTGGTGTTTGGTGGTGGAAAACTGAACGGGTCGAGCATAACATGTCAACCCTGTTACCCATAGACAGACAGGCTAGAAATGTTTTAACAATTATACTTTTTTTGTGAAGCTTGCATTCAATTGCACTCCTTCCCTCAGCCAGGGCATTGAAAATAGGTCGTGGATGGGTATTCCAGCATGACAATGACCCAAAACACACGGCCAAGGCAACAAAGGAGTGGCTCAAGAAGAAGCACATTAAGGTCCTGGAGTGGCCTAGCCAGTCTCCAGACCTTAATCCCATAGAAAATCTGTGGAGGGAGCTGAAGGTTTGAGTTGCCAAACGTCAGCCTCGAAACCTTAATGACTTGGAGAAGATCTGCAAAGAGGAGTGGGACAAAATCCCTCCTGAGATGTGTGCAAACCTGGTGGCCAACTACAAGAAACGTCTGACCTCTGTGATTGCCAACAAGGGATTTGCCACCAAGTACTAAGTCATGTTTTGCAGAGGGGTCAAATACTTATTTCCCTCATTAAAATTTATAACATTTTTGACATACGTTTTTCTGGATTTTTGTTGTTGTTATTCTGTCTCTCACTGTTCAAATAAACCTACCATTAAAATTATAGACTGATCATGTCTTTGTCAGTGGGCAAACATACAAAATCAGCAGGGGATCAAATACTTTTTTCCCTCACTGTATATCCCACAAAGATCTCCCCAAACGCACGAGCCTGAGGGGGCGCAAAACCAGACAGAAAGATCACGTCAGTGACTCAACCCAGGTCGAGTATAGCGGAAAAAGCCTGGCATGACGTGATGCACCCCTCCTAGGGACTGCATGGGCAAGCCAGTGACTCAGCCCCGGTAATAGGGTCAGAGGCAGAGAATCCCAGTGCGAAGAGGGGAGCCGGCCAGGCAGAGACTGCAAGGGTGGTTCGTCACTCCAGTGCCTTGATGTTCACCTTTGTACCTCTGGGCCAGACTACACTCAATCATAGAACCTACTGAAGAGATGATAAAAAATCAGCAAACACGTTTGGTGTTCACCAAAAGGCATGTGGGAGACTCCCAAACATATGGAAGAAGGTACTCTGGTCAGATAAGACTAAAATTGAGCTTTTTGGCCATCAAGGAAACCCCTCTTTTGAGCTGCAAAATCTGGACCCCTACAAATTATCTGGGCTAGACAATCTGGACCCTTTCTTTCTAAAACTAGCCGCCGAAATTGTCGCAACCCCTATTACCAGCCTGTTCAACCTCTTTCGTAACGTCTGAGATCCCCAGAGATTGGAAAGCTGCCGCGGTCATCCCCCTCTTCAAAGGGGGTGACACTCTAGAGCCAAACTGTTACAGACCTATATCCATCCTGCCCTGCCTTTCGAACGTTTTTGAAAGCCAAGTTAACAAACAGATCACCGACCATTTCGAATCCCACTGTACCTTCTACGCTATGCAATCCGGTTTCCGAGCTGGTCATGGGTGCACCTCAGCCACGCTCAAGGTCCTAAACGATATTATAACCGCGATCGATAATAGACAGTACTGTGCAGCCGTCTTCATCGAGCCTGGCCAAGGCTTTCGACTCTGTCAACCACCGCATTCTTATTGGCATAGCCTTGGTTTCTCAAATGACTGCCTCGCCTGGTTCACCAACTACTTCTCAGATAGAGTTCAATGTGTCAAATCGGAGGGCCTGTTGTCTGGACCTATGGCAGTCTCTATGGGGGTGCCACAGGGTTCAATTCTTGGGCCGACTCTTTTCTCTGTGTATACCAATGATGTCGCTCTTGCTGCTGGTGACTCTCAGATCCACCTCTACGCAGACGACACCATTTTGTATACATCTGGCCCTTCATTGGACACTGTGTTAACAAACCTCCAAACGAGCTTCAATGCCATACAACACTCCTTCAGTAGCCTCCAACTGCTCTTAAACACTAGTAAAACTAAATGCATGCTCTTCAATCGAACGCTGCTGGCACCCGCCCACCCGACTAGAATCACTACTCTCGACGGGTCTGACCTAGAGTTTGTGGACAACTACAAATACCTAGGTGTCTGGTTAGACTGTAAACTCTCCTTCCAGACTCACATTAAGAATCTCCAATCCAAAGTTAAATCTAGAATCGGCTTCCTATTTCGCAACAAAGCCTCCTTCACTCATGCTGCCAAACATACCCTCGTAAAACTGACTATCCTAACGATCCTTGACTTCGGCGATGTCATTTACAAAATAGCCTCCAACACTCTACTCAGCTAATTGGATGTAGTCTATCACAGTGCCATCCGTTTTGTTACCAAAGCCCCATATACTACCCACCACTGTGACCTGTACGCTCTTGTTGGCTGGTCCTCACTACATATTCGTCGCCAAACCCACTGGCTCCAGGCCATCTATAAATCACTGCTAGGCAACACCGGTAGCTACCTAGCTAGAACACCAGTAGACAGTGTCCTTAGCACCCCAAAAAACTCTGAATACTTTTATTTCCCCTTCAACCCACATTTTTAATCGCATAGACAATCAGGGGAAATCCAGAATATGAAAAGTGTCACACAAGCATGAAGATGGCGTGTTCGAGGGAAAGGGGGGGGGGCGTTCATGTAGTAACCAATGGGATGTGGGGGGGCGGGACGCCCCGAAGGGGGGGGGGGGGGGCTGGGGTACCCCAATCACACCCTATTGGATCTGGTAGACTCACTAAACACAAACGCTTTGTTTGTAAATTATATCTGAGTGTTGGAGTGTGCCCCTGGCTATCCATAAATTAAATAAATTAAAAATAATGAATGCTGTCTGGTTTGTTTAGGGATGGATTGAAATGTGCAGAATGGTTACCTGGAGCAAAATGGGGGAGGGTCATGCTTTTTCCATTTTTGTATTTAAAAAAAATATCTAGTCCAGGGGAGGGTCGTGTAATTGATGAAATGTCTATATTTATCAGTGTTTAGAAAGAGTTGCTTATTAGACTATATATGGATGTGTGACCGATGCTGCTGGGCTCACAATATCAAGTGTGCCTATTGGCTATTTAGTGTGGTCTCAATCAAATGATCCATAGTCTATAGGCTACGGAGTGGATGCTCGGAGAAGCACAGAGTAAAGTTATATTTCTAAGATAGCTGCTGGGATGGTGTAAATAAAACTAGGCTGTCTTACACACTGCAATGGATTTTCCAACCCTGAGCCCCGGCCTGCTCTGCTCTTGCTGATCAAAAGCTTTTTTGTGTGCTGCTGCCTAACCAATGCTGTGCTGTGTAAGCCTATAGTGGAAGTTCAGGAGGAGGCAAAGGCTTCTTCCGAAAAATGTTTTTGATCTTACACATGGCCTATGTTCTGTTCACTTTGAGAAGGAGAGCGCTAAGATGAGGAGGACCAGAGATCAACTTTGATAGCTTGCTACTACTATAATTAATTTGATTAAAAACAATATGTTTCTTGCCCATTATGTATTTATCAGAGTTATTGACCTCACAATAATCCAGAATCAAGTAACTTGCATTGTGGTGCTGAAACTTGAAGCAGATCAATCGGAAATGGACAGCTCATGGTGCTGAAAGTAGGCAAATTCGAGTAGGCATTATTCATTTAAACTGTCTTCATTTTAATTAGACTTTACTAACAAGAGGGCTTTGAGTTGGAGCCTAATTCTTCCTATTTAAGAAATAAGAGGTAGACCTACCTGTTTGACAGACGAAATTAGGCTATAGGCTGCTATAATATGCCATTTAGCAGACGCTTTTATCCAAAGCGACTTACAGTCATGCGTGCATAAATTTTTACGTATGGGTGGTGCCAGGGATCGAATCCACTACCCTGGCGTTACAAGCGCCATACTCTACCAATTGAGCTACAGAGGACCACAGCTATATCCATAGATTCCACCATGCACTCTTTAACCTCTTGAATGTAACTAAATGTAATCAAAAACATAATCCCCAAAGGTAATTATGTATCATGAGAGGGCCATAAACAATAACTAGTAATGTTGAATATCCAAGAAAGGTTAAAATATCACATTTCTGGTCTTAAAAAGAAAAGAAAAATACTGAGGTGTAGTCAGTTTTGAGGAAACTAGCTCAAGCACACAGTACAAATATGATACAATATGAAATATTTTATATGTATTTCCTATTCAACAAAACGATGACTTGAAATCACTTATATTTTTTCTAAATATAGCATAATCCATTTATAAAACGACTACCTATAAGATTTCACCTTCCTTATAACTGTAAAATACATATTTGTATATTTAGTGTTAGAGAAAATATGCATATTTTCTGAAGGTCTCTCTGGATCAAAACGTCTGCGCCCCATCGTTGTGAACCTCTCACTTTGCTTCCTGAACTCCTTAGGAACTCGCCTTTCATCTCATATGAATCTTGTCCGTCCATGACAAACAAAGTGTTTTTTGTTTTACATTTATTAATTGATTTAGATTACTGGCTATAAATCGATCTCTGAATGTGCTAAAGCCACGAAACCACTCTCTCCTGCTGGGCTACAGGAGCTACTGACGCGCGCGGAGGTGGAGCACGGAGAACAACATAGCGCACGTATAAAATGCTCATCTATGATGTTGCTCAGATTATTGCAATCGATTTTCAGCGAGTGTGAATATCATGACTGAACTCGGAAACAAACACACTTCACAAGATATGCTTACTCTATTTCTCCCGAGCTAAAACCCTGTCCTGATAGAGCCGCACAAATAGGACACTTGCTCAAGCACAAAGTGAGGAAGACTAGACAGCCTAGCCAAGCGTGAGTAAGACCGCATTTGGCCACCATTTCAAAATTCAAACAGAATCAACAAATTCGAACTCGAAAAACGGGTCTGGGTACGTTTTCTGAACCCGTCCAAAACGACGGAGTTACATAACATCAGAAAACAACGTCAGTTCGCGGACAAGGCAAGCCCACTCGATGCTAATCAACCAAGGGGCGCACACACCCCTCTGTCGTCAACGCCCCCCGCCGGATAGGTCCAGGCAGAGATGAGAAAACCAACAACTAGGGCTTTAAAAACATCCACATTGTTCTGTCCATCAGTAACATCTGGTCATCAGACCGGGTACTGCGGCTACGTTCTCCTATTTTCCGTCGCACACTTTCTTCTCCTCCATCTCCGGGGAGGACAGAAATCTAAGTTTATAGTTATTTCTTGCGTCAACCCAAAACGAACATGCCGAGCAAGAGGAAGAAGAACAAGCGCCGCATGAGGAGGGTGGTAAGTGCCGACAACCTGGGTTAGTTCAGTTTCTCAGTGTTGTAGCTAATTATGCCAGTGGTTCCCAACCAGGGGTACTAGGACCCCTGGGGGTACTTGGCTTATCCACAGGGGGTAGGTGGGAAGACTCATGAGACAATAGGCCTACTGTTAAAATGCACATGAGGGGTACTTCAGGGGTACTCTTTGCAGAGCAAAATTCAGTTGGTGGTACAGTAACCGAAATAGGTTGGGAACCACTGAATTAGGCTATTGTCACCTGCGATGTTTGGATTAAATTGTTCCCTTCCACTCCGGTAATCGAAGTGCAATGAACATTTCATCCATTGAAATTATGCCAAACATCAAACTTTATAATATTAAGTTTGATGTTTGGCATAATTTCAATGGATATACATATATGGAATGGATGAATGATCGGTACCATGATTGAACAAACCTCCTTGTAGGCTAACTAAATTGTTTGTCAAACCTAAATTACTTCAGTCATGCATTTTTAAGCTGAGTGGATGCATGCGAAGAAACATAATTTCCAATCCATCCATTCCAATCCGCCCAACTACATGACGGGCACCCTGCATTGGATGTGGCTTGTCGAACTATGTTATTTACTCCTGGCTCTCCGTTCCTCTCCTTGCTGGCTTTCCGTTCCTCTCCATGCGGCGCGGGAACACAGCGCGCATTTGGCAATGTTTGATAAGGTCCGTGCGTAAAATTTTATCACGCTGTGTAGGCTACTCGGCCAAATAGGTTATCTATAAATTGTTATAAACAATCAGTGACGTGGTCATGCTGGTTCGTAGATTTTGTCAATTGAATGAACTGTTTATCACTAGCACACAACATCGGCTAAAATTGCGCTCATATGCGGTGAGTGCGCTCGAAGTTTGTGGTTGCAATTGCTTGGCCAGTCATTAGGTCTAAACTGTCACCTATTCATTGAATTGTCGTGAACGGAGTTATTGTCGTGAACGGAGTTATAGCATTTAACGCACTGGTCGGATTAGTCAAACATCTTAATTGTCAAATCGGGATGGCAAAAACGTACGCTTTTACACACGCACATAGCTGGCAAAATGCTCTGCACACTCTGTACCTGGGGCTTGGGTGGAGGGCGGCAGAGCCTCCCCAACCCCCCCCCCCCCCCCTCCATTTACACCATGATCACCTTACACAAGAATGGGACACATTTCTCCAATGTTACCCCCTAACAATGTGTATTCTTAAATTAACATAAATTAATTACAATGTATATTATACAAATCATTGAAATGTTATCCAAGGCTCTGTCATAGGTCTGCCGTAAGCCAGTTAACATTGTACATGCACTACACTTGAGATCCCTTGCAAATACTTCTCAATATGGTGAGATGGGAGTTCTCCTAAGCACGCTCCCCCCTAACTCAAACCAAGGCTGTATTTGGTAATGAATTTTAGGCATGCCATGGGCCTGTGCAATCTTTGAAACCTGTCACAGAAGCCCAGATAAAAACGTATCCAAAATCCTTATCACCTTTGCATGCTCAAGATATCTATGGAGGTGCATGGGTGTCTTCGATATTTACATGGATGACATTACTAAAGAAGTATGGTGGACAATAATATGCATTAACATTACTAAACAAATATTGTGAACAGTAAAATTAGGAAGACAAGATGTCTATAAGAATATATATAAAAATCAAAATGGAACTAAAAGGGACCCAAAAACAGCCTTCCATGGACACTGAAATCTGTTTCATGTTATGTAATTATGAACTTAAATGTATTGATGTGAAAGTTGATTTGTATTTATGTGAATGATTTGATAGTAAAATGTGAAACTTCAATAAAGATTTTTAAAAACAAAAACAAGAAAGGAGGAGACTCTCTTGCTGATTGATGCTCCAAGTACTAACTAGTGCGCATGTTCTACTTCAGTACATTTCTTAACTTGTGCTTTTTACATGTGCTCCCCTGCCCCTTCAAACAAGTCTCTCTAGTTTCTTTCCAAAGGATGACGATGCCTGGTAAATGCTTTTAAGACTACTCCTATTGACTGGCTCAAAGCTTTACATCGTACCACTGCAAAGGGGCGGGAGGGGTTGTTTTGACTGACAGACCAAAAGGCAGAGCTGTTTTTTTTATGTACACTCACTGGGCTTATGCGCTTGGTGACTGTGTAAACTCTGCTGGCTGGCTGGCCCTCTCTCGCAGCTAATGAAGCTTGGGGTGTGATTATAACATGATTATAACCAGATTATAATAAGATTGATGCGATTAATTCAGTTTGCCCTGTGGGGCCCCATCCCTAGCCCTGAGCCCTGCTGACTCACAGGTTTCGGTCCCGCCTGACTTGACATGTCAGAATCACTCGGATTCAGCCAATTTACCACCATTATCCAACCCGTTTTGGCCCCCTCCGCCCCATTGATTGGCACCATAGCCCAAAGGTTTAGTCCTCTGTCCTCTCTTGGAAAACATGTTGGTCCTAGTTTGGCATTCCTGGTATTTCATCGAATAGAATAGGCCCCCTCCCCTCAACTCCAAACTAGACAAGGAATTCAATAACAAACAGCCCTCTGGCTGGATTACCTTCAGCAACCTCTCCCCATCTTTTTTCTCTCCATCTCTCACTGTTTAATCAAAGCAGAGTGATTCATAGTAAAGTTAATCAGACACACTTCTCTATCTCTCTTTGTTGAGCAGCAGGCCCAGAGGAGAGTCCTCGAGGAGCAGCATTCTACTGGCACAGGCAAAGGAACCCCAGGAGTGGCTGCCGTGGCGCCCCCCCCTGAAATATCACCTTGTCCCCCCCTTCTCCCACCCCCTCCAGTAGTAAAGGCCCCTGTCGTAAAGCCCCCTGAAATATCAAATTGTCCCCCCCTTCTCCCCCCCACTCTAGTAGTAAAGGTCCCAGTCGTACAGCCACCGGCCCAAGTCAAAGTACCAGAGCCTGAGCCTGTGGTGGCAGCGGTAGAGGCTGAAGTGGTGGCAGCTGAGGTTGAAGTTGAGACCCCAGTTGAAGCTCCAGTGGAGGTTGAAGTCGAGGCCCCAGAAAAAGTCCCAGTCAAGTCTCCAGAAGAAGTCCCAGTCGAGGCCCTAGAAGAAGTCCCAGTCGAGGCCCCAGAAGAAGTCCCAGTCGAGGCCCCAGAAGAAGTCCCAGTCGAGGCCCCAGAAGAAGTCCCAGTCGAGGCCCCAGAAGAAGTCCCAGTCGAGGCCCCAGAAGAAGTCCCAGTCGAGGCCCCAGAAGAAGTATCAGTCGAGGCCCCAGAAGTAGAAGCAGAAGCTCCAGTTGAGCCCCCTACAGAAGAAACTGCAGCAGTGCAGGAAGTTGAAGAAAGTGTCATTCCAGAGACTGAGCTAGTAACGGAGGTAAGGACCCGCTCTCTCATTTTGAATTTGTTTGGGAATGGGGAGGATATGGGTTCAGGTGTAGTTTCTGACGTGTTGGGCATGGACTGGGATTTTTAGACAAATGATCCAGTTTCTGTACTTAACATTAAACCAGCACCCAACACTTGAGTAAAGTTCTGTCTTTGCTGTGCAAAATGGTTGCCCTGGTTGCTTTCCATGGAAATGAGATGAAGTAGCGTTAGCGTGGTCTCCCTGAGGGATGGCTGTGGGAGGAGTGGAAAGGAGATGGGGGGGGGGGGGGCAGTAGGAGAACAGCATGTTCTATTTAACAGAGGCTGTACATGTACAGGAGTGTGGGCAGGGCCTCTGTTGCAGTCACTATACATTAACCTTGTCTCCTGTAATTTGTCTTGGATGGATTTGTCTGTTCTAAAACTGATTTCACTTGTGTTTTCCAGAAGATTGTGGTAAGAGTAACTTAATAAGATGATATTACTTTCCTCTAGAGCTGTATTAAGGTTTTGTAATGAATCAGGTTTGCTAACACTTTCCCCTACACATGATTGGCGTTAGTTCAGCTGCTATATTTTCTAAAGTTCCTCCCATGCTGTATGACCACACTGTATGACATGTGTGTGCTGACATGTGCTCTCACATGTATGTGAGTGTGTAGCGAGGGATGAGTGGGTGGTTTATATACGATGATGGGCTCATGGTCAGCCGATAGAGCTCCACAGTAAGATACCAGCCCCCCACCCCCCTTGCAGGCGGTGCTCAGCCCTAGGATCCCCGCCCCCCTAGCCCACCCACCCCTCTTTTCCCCAGTCCTATGCTGCTGCACTTACCATAGACATGCCAGATACGCCTTAGACCTATACACACACAAGTTTTCATAAAAGTACTTTGGACTCACGCACACACATAGTGGGTGTATTATACACACTCGGTATCAGGATAGTTTTATTTAGTTGGTAAGATTTACACATTACATTTACATCATTTAGCAGATGCTCTTATCCAGAGCGACTTACAAATTGGACACATCCTTGTACTCTTAACATAGGAGCGCTGAGACGTTGCACACACCCACATCCATACACTGTAAGTGCTGGTAGAGAAAGGGTGGACAGTTGGTGGCTCTGGTCAGTCAGTCGGTTGCAGTGTTTTCACCATGGGGCTCATATTCAGCTGGCTGCGGGGGCCAGGGCCCCTAGACTCCACACTACTACTGGACGTCACCGTAGAGACACAGGTGAGCCCCCCCCCCCCCCCCCCCCTCTGATGGGGTGTGTGGTAATCTTATCCTCGAGGGAGGGGGCGGGGCATCTGAGGCCGAACATTTTGTACCAGGCAGCTTTCTCTCTTGGCTCCTATAGCCCCCCTCCCTCCTCTTTCCCGCTCTTCCCCTCTTGTGTGCTTGCTTATGGGGCCCCTATAGAGGTGCACTTTACAACCTGGCATGTGTTGTCACTGGGGGAGGGGCCAGTGTATGCACATGAGTAGATAATGCCGTGTTGCCACTGATTGATGTTGTAGGGGTGGGAGGAGACAGAATATTAGGTTGCCAGGGCTGATTTCTCCAAATGCTCTCCAGGCCTAATCTTAATGTGGAAGCTATTCCGTTTCTGATGTGGAAGTGTCCAGACTTCTGCACAAGTGTTAAAAATTCGTAGCTCAAATCCAGTGTATTGGCAATGGAGATCTTTCAACAAAAGGATAGCGGGGGCATGGATGTCTCGGGGGTCCATGCTGCCTGCCTAGTTGGCAGACTAATTCATCACCTAGTGCCTCTGCATGATGTCCCCCCACCCTTGAGCCCCCCACCTTTCTAGTGCCTGCCTTCCTGGGCTGACTGTAACTAGGCCTTTGTTATGAAAGGTGACCGTTTTTTCCCTGCTTCACCAATCTCTCTCTGTCTCCCACATGTGGAAGCATTTACCATATAGGAAGCCTCTCCAGAATATAACAGGAGGCTAGCTCTCCTACGTGTGTTCAATCATTTCTCTATTTTGCTCTCCAAAAGTTCCCCTCCATTGGAATTGGAGTGCCATTTAGCTCTTTCAGGATTTATGTAGTAAAGGTCAATGTTAGTTTTTTTACATTGAGGGTATATTGTTCCCTAGCTTCTACAGTAAAAACAGGAACTTGGCTGCTAGGAAGGAGGAGGAAGAAGGGGGTGTTTATTAGGAACAATATGTACATAATGTTCTCTGAAGGGGTTAAACTGTGGTCTGTCTGATAGAAAGGACTGCACTAGGATCAGTTTAGTACATTTTGTTCCTTGAGTACTTATGTGGCTGGCGAGACAGAGCTGCGATCAGACCAGTTTGGTACACAGTGTTCCACAACGGCTAGGGATGGGAGGGGCGGCTGTGGCTATGTGAATATAGGCTGCCAGTGCTGAGTGCAGAGTAAATGGAAGGCCTGTAGCCCACAGTCTCCCTCTCTCCCCTACACAGCTATATATTTACTTACCTGGAGCTGTAGACTACATGCTTGTTTAGTATAGTTATGGTGGCTCCTTTGTTTAAGGGTCCCTTCAACAGAGTACTTTTAGATCCCTTGTCCTAGTAACATAACGTACTAGAAAAATGCTGATGACTTAAACTGCCCATTTGAACAGAGGTGTTCTATCTGCAGTTTGTGTAATTTCGGTGTTTGACCATGTTATCTGCGGTTTGGTCAATATGTATGTGGTGTGATTAGTGTAATCTGCTGTGTTGGAACTGGATAGGGGTGTTTTGTTAAGGTGCTATCTTGTTGCCTTGCTGATGGGCCACATTCATCTATCTATCTATCTCCCTCCAATAGGGTACCCTTTTTAGAAGTCTTTTAGACAGGCTTTTCTCTAGCCTGGTTAGTGTAATTTATAAAGTAGCACATAGACTTTATGTATGATGTGCTCTGGACCGTGTCAGTATTGGTCAACACACCTGACGGCACAGTGTGTTTGTTCGGTACCAAGTGTGCATGCTGTGAATTACGCACTGAGGCGGAGAGATGGACCATGTGGCACACAAGACAAAGGCTTGGCAGAGGGGAGGGGTGAGGGCAAATATGGCTTCCTCGTAACCTCCATCTTGAGCTCTCAAAATATATTTGTTCTCTTTTCTTTGCCTGCCATGGAGAGAGGGAGAGAGGAGGGGGCGTGGCAGCTCTCTGGCATTATGTAATTGGCTCTAATGTTACTGCTTGTTGCATACCCCCCCACACACACACTCCTATGTAGCCAACACAAATCCAGCACTGAGGGAGGTGTGTGTGTGCAGTGCATCCCTAGTGTGTTTTCCAAGGAAAGGTTTATGATCTCTGAAAGTATGTTTTGCCAAACCTTGAATTTTTTTGACATGGGTGAAAAACAAAACAATTGGGCACCACCGACCCACCCACCACTGTTTCTAAAATAAAATGCCATCATGTACTTGTTAGAACTTAAGTCTGAATTGCTTAATCCTAACCTGATGTCCCAAACCAGAATGACTGCTGCTCTGCCACTCCAGTATCGGGCTAATTTAACGTTATATCCATTTGCGTATAGCAGTCAGTGAAATGTATATTCATAATGACTCCTTTCTTTCTACTTCTTCCAGGCCGCACCCATTCCTGAGGCCCCTGTGTCAGGTCCTGCTGAAATTGAGGTAAACCCCCCCTGACCCCCCTCCAATCAACTCACTGAACTCTGTTCGTCAACTTGCTGAACCAATCAGGGGCCAGCCAGCCCCGGCCACCCCCCTATTCTCCCACAAGTAATCTGCTGTTGCTCAAACATGGTTCTAGTTGAGCAGCAGGGTCTGAACAAAGAACAAGCCTGTCTACAGAAAGGTGTTCCTACATGTATCTAACACAAATATATGTAAATGTCTGCTCTATCCAAAATTACAACCAACTAATTGCAGCATTACCGCAAAAATGGAAGAGGCAAGTGGAAGGGGGAGAAAGTAAGGAACTTGTCTGTCGGCCCTGCATTAAAGACAAACATTGGTTAAAGAAAATTGTGATTTAAAAAAAAGTATACAAGTTTTATTTAAGGACCAAAAAATTGACAGCTGTGCCATACAGATTGCAAAATAGTTGGGAAGAGATTTTTGACGTACCGATTCCATCACACTTGGTTTATGAACTGATACATAAAACGACGCCGGATTCAAAACGTAGAGTTTTTCAATGTAAATTATTATACAAAATTCTTGCAACCAATAGAATGTTATATATATATATGGGGGATACAACAATCCCAGCTTTGCAGATTTTGCTGCGAAGAGACAGAATCATTAGATAATTTGTTTTGGTACTGTCCATATGTAGCTTGTTTTTGGTCACAGATTCAGGAATGGCTGAAGAATTGCAACATTTACCTGGAGTTAACTCCGCAAATAACACTGCTGGGTGATCTGAAAAGTAATAGTCAATCGATCAATAATATAATAATACTCTTAGCAAAACATTTTATCTTTAATTTACGATCTCTAGTAACTACAGTATGAGAATAGAAAGGTTCAGAACTTTTGTGAAACATCACAGCACAGTTGAAAAATATATGGCAAATAGAAATCAAAGATAGATGGGAGGGGTTGAGGGTAGCTGAAGCATGGGACTAAAAACAAACAAAAGATAACTAATGTAAAATATACTGTTTGCGTAAAATGTATATTGTATGTATAACGCTTCAAACACACCGACTGTGTCATTGCGTTTTGGTACACCAGAAGTACATTCATTTCCAATGGAACGCTGTGTTTGCTTTGCAGCATTGCGTTGCAGAGGTAGTTGCAGTGCGTTGCATATGTTGGATTTATCGAAAGTATGCGTCAAACTGTATACGTAAACGGGTTGACAGAAATGGTGCCAGAAGGTGAATGTTGAACTATTGTTGCACACATATTTAGATGATGCTGCATACTATTTTGAGCAATGACGCAGTTGGTGTGTTCAAAATAGTATGCGTGAGGCTTTGAACACACCAACAGGAAAGGTGTTACTACTAGAATGATGCCATCTTCCCACCTTTTCACTACCAGTGTGGTCAACAACTACCTCTCCTTCTGCATTAAGTTGGACCATTAATTTACATTTTACATTTTAGTCATTTAGCAGAGGCTCTTATCCAGAGCGATTTACAGGAGCAATTAGGGTTAAGTGCCTTGCTCAAGGGCACATCGATAGATTTTTCACCTAGTCGGCTCGGGGATTAGAACCAGCGACCTTTTGGTTACTGGCACAACGCTTTTATAAATATGTAGACTAACTCCTTGTCGTCCCTATTCAGGTCCAGGTCGAAGACTCCGTAGCCATTACCACAGAGATAGCACAGGTAAAAACTAACCGGTTTCTCAAAAACATCTTAAGGCAAAATTCATCGTTAGAACCTTCGTAGGAGCATCGTTAAATGTCTGAGCTTTTTCCCAAAACCATCGTTATTAACATTGCACTTGAAAACGCTCGTAATCTAACGCCTGCCTCAGTCCACTCGTAGAACAGCTAAATGCATCGTAGGGTGGTTTTCTTTCCCTCCCGCGTCACTTTACACAGAAGATCTCCGCTAAACATAGAATCACAGGGTTTATCCATCTCTGACCGCCAATAACTTCTGAACAAAGTTGACTACAAATGTAAAGTTGCCAATGTCTTTGCAATTGATACAAACAAGCGACATATTAAAATATGCTTCAAAATGAAAACCGAGAAAACTTAATTGAAATATAAACAGTAGGCTATAGGCCTATTTCAATCATATTGAAATACATTTATTTTTCAATCGAGTTCTATTTAGCTACTTCTAGGCTACTGTCTGTAATTTCTCTATATATTTCATGATGTGTAGCCAAACGTGCGCAATGATGTGCCAAATTGATGATTTTGTGCATTTCTATTGGGTAAGCATTAGAATAAGTCACCTCAATATTTACAACCGTAGGTGATAATATTGCTCTAGGAGCTGATCAGTCATCAGTATTGTGAAATAATTATAATATTAAGGTAAGATTTGAATGGGGAAAGCTGACCTGAGAGCAGCGCTCTCTTTCGATCCTATAAAGTATTGACACATGCTCCAACGGTGCACTTAGCGACCGTTCTCTGCGTGGTGTTTTGGGAAACGCATCTTCGGCCGTTGTAAGAAAGATGCATCGTTAAAACACTCGTAAGCCTAACTTCCACCGCTGTCGGGAAACCGGGCCCAGGTGCATGGTAGAATCTGTAGTGAATCTATGGTACATTAGTTGAGTGTTTCTGTAGTAGCCCACTGTGTGTGTATCAGCCATAGTGCCGTTGCATGGTGTGGTGTTTGACCGTGTTCCACTGCATGTTTAGACTCATGACGAGCCGTCGCTCGAGGCTGAAGTGGAGGCTGAAATAGTTGCGGAGGTCCAAGCGAAGGTTGAGTCAGAGCCAGAACCAGAGCCCGAGCCTGTGGTTAAGGCCGAAGTTGCCCCTGTAGTAGAAGCTGAAGTTGAATTTGAAGAGACTGGGATCGAAGCAGGAGACAGTCCTATCATCAAAGCTGAGGCCATTCCTGAACATGTTGATGTAGAAGAGGACCCATTTGTCAAAGAGGTGCTACATCTCTCAGCTCTCACCTCTGCCTCTGTTGAAAACTCTACTGGAGCCCTTTGTGTTCTTTTGCGTGATGTTGTCTTGTGTGAATGTACATGTAGTGTGTGGTTTGCTCTGATCTTTCCCATTTCTATTAAACAGTGTTCAGAAAGCATCTGATAATGTTTTTCTTTTTGATTGTTTGCTTTTTTGATTGTAATTTCTCCTCTTTTCAGCATGAGCCTGTTACGACAGAGGCTCCTGAAGAGGTTCCAGTGGTAAGCTGACATTCCTTACTACACTGAACAAAAATATAAATGCAACATGCAACAATTTCAAAGACTTTACTGAGTTACAGTTCATATAAGGAAATCAGTCAATTGAAATAAATTCATTAGGCCCTAATCTATGGATTTCACATGACTGGGAATACAGATATGCATCTGTTGGTCACAGATACCTTAAGAAAAGGTAGGGGCATGGATCAGAACCGGTCAGTATCTGGTGTGACCACCATTTCAAATCAAATCAAATCAAATGTTATTTGCTACATGCGCCGAATACAACAGGTGTAGACATTACAGTAAAATGCTTACTTACAAGCCCTTAACCAACAATGCAAAGTAAAACAAATCAAAAAAGTGTTAAGTAAAAAAAGCAAATAACTACAGAGCAGCAGTAAAATAAAATAACAGTAGGGAGGCTATATACAGGGGGGTGCCGGTGCAGAGTCAATGTGCGGGGGCACCGGCTAGTCGAGGTAATTGAGGTAATATGTACATGTGGGTAGAGTTAAAATGACTATGCATAAATAATAAACAGAGTAGCAGCAGAGTAAAAAGGGGGTGGGGGTGGGGGGGGCAGTGCAAATTGTCTGGATAGCCATGATTAGCTGTTCAGGAGTCTTATGGCTTGGGGGTAGAAGCTGTTGAGAAGCCTTTTGGACCTAGACTTGGCGCTCCGGTACCGCTTGCCGTGCGGTAGCAGAGAGAACAGTCTATGACTAGGGTGGCTGGAGTCTTTGACAATTTTTACCGTCTGGTATAGAGGTCCTGGATGGCAGGAAGCTTGGCCCCAGTGATGTACTGGGCCGTACGCACTACCCTCTGTAGTGCCTTGCGGTCAGAGGCTGAGCATTTGCCATACCAGGCGGTGATGCAACCAGTCAGGATGCTCTCGATGGTGCAGCTGTATAACTTTTTGAGGATCTGAGGACCCATGCCAAATGTTTTCAGTCTCCTGAGGGGGAATAGGCGTTGTCGTGCCCTCTTCACGACCGTCTTAGTGTGTTTGGACCATGATAGTTTGTTGGTGATGTGGACACCAAGGAACTTGAAGCTCTCAACCTGTTCCACTACAGCCCCGTCGATGAGAATGGCGGCGTGCTGAGTCCTCTTTTTTTTCCTGTAGTCCACAATCATCTCCTTTGTCTTGATCACGTTGAGGGAGAGGTTGTTATCCTGGCACCACACGGCCAGGTCTCTGACCTCCTCTCTATAGGCTGTCTCATCGTTGTCGGTGATCAGGTCTACCACTGTTGTGTCGTCAGCAAACTTAATGATGGTGTTGGAGTCGTGCCTGGCCATGCAGTAATGGGTGAACAGGGAGTACAGGAGGGGACTGAGCACGCACCCCTGAGGGGCCCCCGTGTTGAAGATCAGCGTGGCAAATGTGTTGTTACCTACCCTTACCACCTGGGGGCGGCCCGTCAGGAAGTCCAGGATCCAGTTGCAGAGGGAGGTGGTTAGTCCCAGGGACCTTAGCTTAGTGATGAGCTTTGAGGGCACTATGGTGTTGAACGCTGAGCTGTAGTCAATGAATAGCATTCTCACGTAGGTGTTCCTCTTGTCCAGGTGGGAAAGGGAAGTGTGGAGTTCAATAGAGATTGCATCATCTGTGGATCTGTTTGGGCGGTATGCAAATTAAGTGGGTCTAGGGATTCTGGGATAATGGTGTTGATGTGAGCCATGACCAGCCTTTCAAAGCACTTCATGGCTACAGACGTGAGTGCTACGGGTTGGTAGTCATTTAGGCAGGTTATCTTAGGGTCCTTGGGCACAGGGACTATGGTGGTCTGCTTGAAACATGTTGGTATTACAGACTCAGTCAGGGACATGTTGAAAATGTCAGTGAAGACACTTGCCAGTTGGTCAGCACATGCTCGGAGTACACGTCCTGGTAATCCATCTGGCCCTGCGGCCTTGTGAATGTTGACCTGCTTAAAAGTCTTACTCTTATCGGCTACGGAGAGCGTGATCACATAGTCATCCGGAACAGTTGGTGCTCTCATGCTTGCTTCAGTGTTGCTTGCCTCTAAGCGAGCATAGAAGTGATTTAGCTCGTCTGGTAGGCTTGTGTCACTGGGCAGCTCGCGGCTGTGCTTCCCTTTGTAGTCTGTAATAGTTTTCAAGCCCTGCCACATCCGACGAGCGTCAGAGCCAGTGTAGTACAATTCAATCTTAGTCCTGTATTGACTCATTGCCTGTTTGATGGTTCGTCGGAGGGCATAGCGTGATTTCTTATAAGCGTCCGGGTTAGAGTCCCGCTCCTTGAAAGCGGCAGCTCTAGCCTTTAGCTCAGTGCGGATGTTGCCTGTAATCCATGGCTTCTGGTTGGGGTATGTACGTACGGTCACTGTGGGGACGACGTCATCGATGCACTTATTGATGAAGCCAGTGACTGATGTGGCGTACTCCTCAATGCTATCTGAAGAATCCCGGAACATATTCCAGTCTGTGCTAGCAAAACAGTCCTGTAGCTTAGCATCTGCGTCATCTGACCACTTTTTTATTAACTGAGTCACTGGTGCTTCCTGCTTTAGTTTTTGCTTATAAGCAGGAATCAGGAGGATAGAGTTATGGTCAGATTTGCCAAATGGAGGGCGAGGGAGAGCATTGTATGCGACTCTGTGTGTGGAGTAAAGGTGGTCTAGAGTTTTTTTCTTCTGGTTGCACATTTAACATGCTGGTAGAAATTAGGTAGAACGGATTTAAGTTTCCCTGCATTAAAGTCCCCGGCCACTAGGAGCGCTGCCTCTGGATGAGCGTTTTCCTGTTTACTTATGGCCTTATACAGCTCATTGAGTGCAGACTTAGTGCCAGCATTGGTTTGTGGTGGTATATAGACAGCTACAAAAAATATAGAAGAAAATTCTCTTGGCAAATAGTGTGGTCTACAGCTTATCATGAGATACTCTACCTCAGGCGAGCAAAACCTTGAGACTTCCTTAGTATTAGACTTTTTGCACCAGCTGTTGTTTACAAATATACACAGACCGCCACCCCTTGTCTTACCGGAGTCAGCCGTTCTATCCTGACGATGTAGCGTATATCCCGCCAGCTGTATGTTATCAATGTCGCCGTTCAGCCACGACTCGGTGAAACATAAGATATTACAGTTTTTAATGTCCCGTTGGTAGGATAACCGTAATCTTAGGTCGTCTACCTTATTTTCAAATGATTGAACATTGGCTAATAGGATTGATGGAAGAGGCAGTTTACTCGCTCGCCATCGGATCCTTACAAGGCACCCCGACCTACGTCCACTTTCTCATGTGAATGACGGGGATTTGGGCCTTGTCGGGTGTCTGTAGGATATCCTTCGCGTCCGACTCATTGAAGAAAAAATCTTCGTCCAATACGAGTTGAGTAATCGCTGTCCCGATATCTAGAAGCTCTTTTTGGTCATAACAGATGGTGGCAGAAACATTATGTACAGAATAAATTACAAATAACGCCAAAAAACACACATAATAGTAGAATTGGTTAGAGGGCTGTAAAACGGCAGCCATCTTCTCCGGCGCCATTGCCTCATGCAGCGCGACACATCTCCTTCGCAGTGAGTTGATCAGGCTGTTCATTGTGGCCTGTGGAATGTTGTCCCACTCCTCTTCAATGGCTGTGCGAAGTTGCTGGATATAGCCGGAAACTGGAACACGCTGTTGTACACGTCGATCCAGTTCATCCCAAACATGCTCAATGGGTTACATGTCTGGTAAGTATGCAGGCCATGGAAGAACTGAGCCATTTTCAGCTTCCAGGAATTGTGTACAGATCCTTGCAACATGGGGCTGTGCATTATCATGCTGAAACATGAGGTGATGGCGGCGGGTGAAAGGCACGACAATGGGCCTCAGGATCTTGTCATGGTATCTCTGTGCATTCAAATTGCCATAGATATAATGCAATTGTGTTCGTTGTCCATAGCTTATGCCTGCCCGTACCATAACCCCACCGCCACCATGGGGCACTCTGTTCACAACGTTGACATCAGCAAAACGCTTGCCCACATCTGCCATCTGTCCGGTACAGTTGAAACAGGGATTCATCCGTGAAGAGCACACTTCTCCAGCATGCCAGTGGCCATCGAAGGTGAGCATTTGCCCACTGAAGTCGGTTACGACGCCAAACTGCTGTTAGGTCAAGACCCTGGTGACGACGAGCACGCAGATGAGCTTCCCTGAGATGGTTTCTGAAAGTTTGTGCAGAAATTCTTCGGTTGTGCAAACCCACAGTTTCATCAGCTGTCCGGTGGCTGGTCTCAGACGATCCCGCAGCTGAAGAAGCTGGATGTGGAGGTCCTGGGCTGGCGTGGTTACACGTGGTCTGTGGTTGTGGGCCGATTGGACATAAAACGTTGGAGGCGGATTATGGTAGAGGAATGAACATTAAATTCTCTGGCAACAGTTCTGGTGGACATTCCTACAGTCAGCATGTCAATTGCATGCTCCCTCAAAACTTGAAACATCTGTGGCATTGTGTTGTGTGACAAAACTGCACATTTTAGAGTAGCCTTTTATCATCCCCAGCACAAGGTGCACCTGTGTAATGATCATGCTGTTTAATCAGCTTCTTGATATGTCACACCTGTCAGGTGGATGGATTACCTTGGCAAAGGAGAAATGCTCACTAACAGGGATGTGGCCAAAATATGAGAGAAATTAGCTTTTTGTGCATATAGAACATTTCTGGAATATTTTATTTCAGCTCATGAAACATGGGACCAACACTTTACATGTTGCATTTATATTTTTGTTCAGTATCTTTTTTTATTGTGCAACTTCTTATACATGGGACATATATTATCTAGATGCATTTTCAAAGCATTCGTATCAGTTCAATGCAGCCTGGGCTTTTGAGCTTGTGATTGTTCCTATTAGGAAGGATATGGCTCCACCTAGTGGATAGCTGGAGCACTTCACAAATTTGACACTTCAGTGTTTGCTTCCCTGGTCCTGCCTGTATTAAGCAATGGTAGATTGTCACCTATTTTTTGCTTTGGGATTAAACTGACATGTGCCCCAACCTCTCACCTCCCAGGAGACAGAAATTATCCCAGAAAAGCAGTCGGAGCCCGTAGAAGCCCCGGTTGAAGAAGCCCCCGTAGCCGAGGTCTCTCCAGCAGAGCCCCTTGTAGAGGTAAGGTTGACCAACATATGGCATTCTCAGTCCTTTCACGTTTCTCAGTAAGAAAGTAGAAATGGAAGTGAAGTTGGAATTTGTACATTTTAACATTGGGCTTATGTGTAACTCTGTCTACTCTCTCCAGGCCCTAGTAGACCCTGTCATCGACACAGTGGCTGACAACTTTTTAATCACAGAATCTGTCCCAGTTGTGGAGGCAGCCATGGCCGAGCAGGTGAAACTCGCGCTCCAATCATACCCACACATACACACAATGACCACGTTTACATGCGCACATTATTCCAGATAGTAGCTCATATACCGCTTAAGGTCTTGTTCGGGATAAGCTGTTTACATGCATTCATTCTATCGATGTAATACATTCTGGTGAGCACTACTTTAGTCTTCTGGGCAGCACTACTTTAGCCTTCTGGACAACAAGTTATGACAAGAAGAGAAGCTGCATGTATCTAACTATAGTTGACAAATGGCCTACCAAACGTCGGAAATTATAGGCAGAAAAGTATCTAAATTAGGAGTGAAAGTAGCCTAAGCCAGTAGGCTATACGGTCCAGTACGTTGTATCAGCAAAATAAATTATTATGGAGGATCGAACATGCACAGCTATAGCCTACTTTTTAAAATGATTTGTTTGACAATCAGATGAAAACATCACACGACACCCATGATATGCAAAACTGAGCCTGCGCAGACCACAAAAAACAGTAAACGGGATAAGATGTTTACATGCCACAGTATCCCGTCTAAAATCAGCATATCCCAGGCTTCTTAACAGGGTTTCTCATAACCGGGATACAAGCTTTTTCGGGTTATTGGCAACGGGACATGATGTTTATATGCGTCAACTCAAAAACAGAATACTTCAGTATCCCGAAAAATAACAGGATATTGGTGGGCATGTAAACGTGGTCACTGATGTAGTTTTGGCATACCTTTAATCATACAGTATGACCCCCTGCTGATGTCCCCTTCCTCAAGATTTGACTGTGTGTCATCTCTGTTTAGGTGCCCGCAGTCCCAACAGATTCACTTGACGCCCTATCGGAGTTGCTGAACGACATCACCCTAGTCACTGAGCCCGCCCCTGTCACAGCTGATGAAGTCATTGACGTGAGTTCTCCTACTTTTCTCTATGCAGAGTCGTTTTAGTAGAGCAGACGTGATACACACTCCTGTAACCCCATTGTCTGGTTGGTCTCAGGAGCCAGAGTGTGAGGAGAAAGAGGTGACAAAGATGGGGGCGAGAGACAACACACTTCCACCCGATTACCGGCCCTCCCCGGAGGACCTGCTGGTCAGAGTTGAATCATAATAACCTAAAAACTTCTCATCTACTCACTCATTTAGAATAATGAATTCAACCAACTCTTTACTCAATCACCTTGCTATATAATAAGCCTTAACATAATCAAACACTTGGGTGAAGGCTATCCTCTCATAACTTGCATCATTTTAAATGCTCTCGCACATTTTGAAATGTGGCATTCCAGGGGTTCTTCCTCCCTCATGGGTTTCTCTCTGCCATCTTTGGATCGATCCTCCCTCTCCTCCCTCCTTGTGGTCTTCCTTTTTACATTCTGTTCATTCCCTGGGATGTGGGCTGTTCCAGCTTGTTTTATTGCATTGGGCATGCCATGTACTGTAATGGGAATACTGGTTTATTTTTGAGGACTATGGATATTGATTACTGCATTTTGATTTTGATTTATTAGGATCCCTATTAGCCGATGCCAATGGCAACAGCTAGTCTTACTGGGGTCCGACACATAGCGAAAAATACATTACAGACCAAAAAAAGACTTTACAATTTACATACATTTAAAAACATGTAATGTGTGTGTGCATTTATCAGTTACACATACATGTTAGTACATACCCACAACAAGTAGGTCACATGGGGTAGGTCACATTGTTGGGAAAGAGCTTGCAAGAAAGACATTTCACTGTACTTGTGCACGTGACAACTTGAAACTTAGTGGTGCGCTCAACAACATTGACTGACTACGTTTCCTTTCACAGGCTAAAGAGGTCATTGAAGCCCAGATGGAAATCGAGGCCAAAAATGATGCCATAGATGAGAAGACGGCCCTTGACGTCCTTTCTGGAGATTTCTCTGCCCCCCAGCCCGTCATCTCAGAACTGCAGTGTCACACGCAGCTCGCCGCCCCCAAGGTAGGAACCTATAGTGTATTGAACTCTCCCAACCAATTGTGATCTGTCTTTATAAATATTTAAAATCAACCACTCTCCGTTCTTACACACCCATCTAAACTCCTTCCTTGTTCTTTTAGGATATCCCAGCAGAGGCAGTGCTGAATGGACACATGGCAGCTGAGGTGGCTATTGAGGGATAGATCTCTACGGGTGATGACTTGTTTAATCTCCCTAAAAACTGCGTTTGAATGCATAAGGTCTGAATTGGCATTAACATTCTGTTATTGTTTCTGTCTCCCCACAGATTTCCTCAGTCAGTATGGACTGAAGAGAGCCTGACAGGGAGCCGACCAGCAAACTTTACTTTTCATTTTTTAGGGCTTAAAGGGACCGCTGGGAAATTTGACAGACATCCAACACTCAGTGCCTTTCCTGCTTGGGTTCTTACCCCTAAAAATATTAAACAAGTTTAAAATGCGACATGAAGGGGGGGAATAAGACTCTTTGGATCAGAATGTGACAATTTGGAATAAAAAAATAATAGATTTCTGTATCTCAATACATGTATTGTGGATTTGCTTCAATTGTAAATGGCATACTGGTATGAATACTGTAGAATTGATGAATGTGGCAATGGCTTGTCTTCACATTTGGACCACGTTTGTATGGATGAGAGGGATAGTTCCTTGTATGCGTTTCCTGTTTTAACCTGGTTTGAGTCCTTTTTGTGAAGGGACAGTATCGCAGATTGTACAGTACCATAGACCCCCCACACCCCCCCACCCCCACCTTCTCCCTATCCCCATTGTGGTACTTTTGTTTTTTCAGGGACTGTATGATGACAGCTCCACCCTCTTTACTGTGTAGTGTCAGTGTGTCTACAGTCCCAAGTCTGTCCTGGGTAATGTGAAATGGTGTGTAGTTTCAGGCCCTCTGACCAGGTGCTCTTGACATTTAATTACCTACGCTACCAACTGAAAATGGAGTACGGGGGCTTGTAGATCCTGTTTTTAGTTTTGCTTTTCTAATTCCGTTTTGTATAGACCATACAATGTGGTACAACCGCTGTCTGTGTTCAGTTACGTGCTCTGGAAGAGACCATGGAGTTATGTAATTGAGGAGCTGGGTTGGATTTCATTCACCTTTTTGAATAAAGATGTTACTCACCGTGTCCGTGATTCAGTTGTTGGCCTGTGTTCCACATTAGCATAATGTTTGAAACCATAAATACTTTCAGGTAGCTGAAGTAAGCACATTTAGTGGGATGGAATACAATTGCCATTGGCTCACGATCCTTTATCAATATGTAATAGTACCACAATCTAGAAATGTTGCTATCTCACAGTTGGAGAGAGTTAACATTACATGCCAAAGCATACCATATAGGTATGTGAACTTGTTTCTTTACCAAAGTGGGACATAATTACAACCAGGATTTCTGTCTGAAACTTGCTCAGGAAAAACTCCAGGCTCTAGTCCTCTGCTTCTAGGAGGTTCAATTAGGAGACTGGAATCATTTGACTTGTTGGGTAATTTACGTATTTATTTGGAGGATCTCCCCAGATCCATAGACGTCTGCTACTTCAGCTGCGTTTACACAGGCAGCCTAATTCTGATCTTTTGACCAATTACTGGCAAAAGACGTGAACTGATTGGTCAAAAGTCCAATTAGTGAAAAAATATTAGAATTGGGCTGCCTGTGTTAATGCAGCCTTAAAGGGATACTTCGGGATTTTGGCAATGAAGTGCTTTATCTACTTCCCCATAATCTCTCATGGACAGATTCTGCGTGTGAAGTTACAAACTTGCGAGAATTTTACTTCTGGGTAACCGAGATTAACTTTGCCAGAGCCAGATGAACTCATGGATACCATTTGTATGTCTCTGACTGCAGTTTGAAGGAAGTTACTAAATAGCGTTAGCACAATGACTAGAGGGCTATGGTAACAGTTAGCATGCTATTACCATAGACTTACAGTCATTGCGCTAACACTAGTAAAGTTGGCTTCATGGCATTTATTGCTATGGTCATTAAAGACATGCTCCGGAACTTTGGCGACTAGTATATATTTTTTTAACTCCCGCTTTGGGCTGGATGTGTCAATGTGTAGTTCATACATGCATAATCTATGAGCAGAATTACTGTCTTACCTCAATTAGCCACGCAATCCCTAGTTTGAAAGCGACTGTTTTATGGAAGCTGTGCAGCGCCATTTTCCCCAGAATTTTTCTCAAGTGGGCCAGCCCCCTAGCAATTTGAGTTCCAGCTTCAGCCCCTCGCCATTTGAGTGAAAACTAGAAAGATGCACACACAGCAGAGCGAGAGCAATGACGTAGTACACAATTTTCGGGGACCACTTTTGGCTCGTCAGCGCTACATTCAGAACTACTGGCTAAAAAGTATACAAAAGTAAAATCAAATCAACAATGCAGAGTAAAGAATATAAAATATAAATAGTAACAGGGTAGCTCAGTTGGTAGAGCATGGCGCTTGCAACGCCAGGGTTGTGGGTTCGTTTCCCACGGGGGGCCAGTATGAAAAAAAAGAATTATGCACTCACTAACTGTAAGTCGCTCTGGATAAGAGCGTCTGCTAAATGACTAAAATGTAAGAATAAAGCACACAAGAATGAAGCTACAGTATATACAGGAAGTACCAGTACCAGATCAATGTGCAGGGGTACGAGGTACATATGTACATTAAAGCAGGGTAAAGTGACTAGGCATCAGAATAGATAATAATAAGAGTAAGAATAGTGAACAGAGTATCAGCAGCATATGATGTGTGTGTGTGTGTGTATCTAGTGTACAGTTGAAGTCGGAAGTTTACATACACTTAGGTTGGAGTCATTAAAACTCGTTTTTCAACCACTCCACAAATTTCTTGTTAACAAACTATAGTTTTGGGAAGTCGGTTAGGACATCTACTTTGTGCAATTGTTTACAGACAGATTATTTCACTTAGAATTCACTAAATCACAATTCCAGTGGGTCAGAAGTTTACTGTGCCTTTAAACAGCTTGGAATATTCCAGAAAATGATGTCATGGCTTTAGAAGCTTCTGATAGGCTAATTGACATCATTTGAGTCAATTGGAGATGTACCTGTGGATGTATTTCAAGGCCTACCTTCAAACGCACTGCCTCTTTGCTTTACATCATGGGAAAATCAAAAGAAATCAGCCAAAAAATATATGTAGACCTCCACAAGTCTGGTTCATCCTTGGGAGCAATTTCCAAACGTCTGAAGGTACCAGATTCATCTGTACAAACAATAGTACGCAAGTATAAACACCATGGGACCACGCAGCCGTCATACCGCTCAGGAATGAGACGCGTTCTGTCTCCTAGAGATGAACGTATTTTGGTGGGGAGAAAAGTGCAAATCAATCCCAGAACAACAGCAAAGGACCTTGTGAAGATGCTGGAGGAAACAGGTACAAAAGTATCTATATCCACAGTAAAACGAGTCCTATATCGACATAACCTGAAAGGTCGCTCAGCAAGGAAGAAGCCACTGCTCCAAAACCACCATAAAAAAGCCAGACTACGGTTTGCAACTGCACATGGGGACAAAGATCGTACTTTTTGGAGAAATGCCCTCTGGTCTGATGAAACAAAAATAGAACTGTTTGGCCATAATGACCATTGTTATGGTTGGCAGAAAAAGTGGTGGCTTGCAAGCCGAAGAACACCATCCCAACCATGAAGCACGGGGGTGGCAGCATCATGCTGTGGGGGTGCTTTTCTGCAGGAGGGACTGGTGCACTTCACAAAATAGATAGCATCATGAGGAAGGAAAATTATGTGGATATATTGAAGCAACATCTCAAGACATCAGTCAGGAAGTTAAAGCTTGTTCGCAAATGAGTCTTCCAAATGGACAATGACCCCAAGCATACTTCCAAAGTTGTGGCAAAATGACTTAAGGACAACAAAGTCAAGGTATTGGAGTGGCCATCACAAAGCCCTGACCTCAATCCTATAGAACATTTGTGGGCAGAACTGAAAAAGTGTGTGCGAGCAAGGAGGCCTACTAACCTGACTCAGTTACACCAGCTCTGTCAGGAGGCCAAAATTCACCCAACTTATTGTGGGAAGCTTGTAGAAGGCTACCCGAAACGTTTGACCCAAGTTAAAAAATGTAAAGGCAATGCTACCAAATACTAACTGAGTGTATGTAAACTTCTGACCCACTGGGAATGTGATGAAAGAAATAAAAGCTGAAATAAATCATTCTCTCTACAATTATTCTGACATTTCACATTCTTAAAATGAAGTGGTGATCCTAACTGACCTAAGACAGGGAATTTGTACTAGGATTAAATGTCAGGAATTGTGAAAAACTGAGTAAAAATGTATTTGGCTAAGGTGAATGTAAACTTAACACTTCAACTGTATGTGAATGTGTGTGGGTTTTGTGTGAGTGTCAGTGTACAGTAGTGTGTGAGTGAGTGTGTATATACAGTGCATTCGGAAAGTATTCAGACCCCTTGACTTTTTTTTTTCTTTTTTTAAAATTGATTAAATCTTTTTTTTCCCCCTCATCAATCTACACACAATACACCATAATGACAAAGCAAAAACAGGGTTTTAGAATTTCTTTCAAATTTATAAAGAATAAATATATGGAAATATCACATATACATAAGTATTCAGACCCTTTACTCAGTACTTTGTTGAAGCACCTTTGGCAGCGATTACAGCCTTGAGTCTTCTTGGGTATGACGCTACAAGCTTGGCACACCTGTATTTGGGGAATTTCTCCCATTCTTCTCTGCAGATCCTCTCAAGCTCTGTCAGGTTGGATGGGGAGCGTCGCTGCACAGCTATTTTCAGGACTCTCCAGAGATGTTTGATCGGGTTCATGTCTGAGCTCTGGCTGGCTCACTCAAGGACATTCAGAGACTTGTCCCGAAGCCACTCCTGCATTGTCATGGTTGTGTGCTTAGGGTCATTGTCCTGTTGGAAGGTGAACCTTCGCCCCAGTCTGAGGTCCTGAGCGCTCTGGAGCAGGTTTTCATCAAGGATCTCTCTGTACTTTGCTCTGTTCATCTTTCCCTCGAACCTGACTAGTCTCCCAGTCCCTGCCACTGAAAAACATTCCCACAGCATGATACTGCCACCACCATGCTTCACCGTAGGGATGGTGCCAGGTTTCCTCCAGACATGATGCTTGGCATTCAGGCCAAAGAGTTCAATCTTGGTTTCATCAGACCAGAGAATCTTGTTTCTCATGGTCTGAGAGTCCTTTATGTGCCTTTTACTGAGGAGTGGTTTCTGTCTGGCCACTACCATAAAGGCCTGATTTGTGGAGTGGAAGGTTCTCCCTTCTCCACAGAGGAACTCTGGAGCTCTGTCAGAGTGACCATCGGCTTCTTGGTCACCTCCCTGACCAAGGCCCTTCTCCCCCGACTGCTCAGTTTGGCCAGGCGGCTAAAAACCTGTTTTCGCTTTGTCATTATGGGGTATTTTGTGTAGATTGATGAGGAAAAAAAGTAATTTAATACATTTTAGAATAAGTAACGTAACAAAATGTGGAAAAAAGTCAAGGGGTCTGAATACTTTCCGAATGCACAGCAATTGTTGAATAGGATGGCCTTGACTAGAATACAGTATATACATATGAAATGAGTAAAACAGTATCTAACCAGTGTTCCATTATTAAAGTGACCAGTGTTCCATGTCTATGTACAGTGGGGGAAAAAAGTATTTAGTCAGCCACCAATTGTGCAAGTTCTCCCACTTAAAAAGATGAGAGAGGCCTGTAATTTTCATCATAGGTACACGTCAACTATGACAGACAAATTGAGCATTTTTTCCTCCAGAAAATCACATTGGAGGATTTTTAATGAATTTATTTGCAAATTATGGTGGAAAATAAGTATTTGGTCACCTACAAACAAGCAAGATTTCTGGCTCTCACAGACCTGTAACTTCTTCTTTAAGAGGCTCCTCTGTCCTCCACTCGTTACCTGTATTAATGGTACCTGTTTGAACTTGTTATCAGTATAAAAGACACCTGTCCACAACCTCAAACAGTCACACTCCAAACTCCACTATGGCCAAGACCAAAGAGCTGTCAAAGGACACCAGAAACAAAATTGTAGACCTGCACCAGGCTGGGAAGACTGAATCTGCAATAGGTAAGCAGCTTGGTTTGAAGAAATCAACTGTGGGAGCAATTATTAGGAAATGGAAGACATACAAGACCACTGATAATCTCCCTCGATCTGGGGCTCCACGCAAGATCTCACCCCGTGGGGTCAAAATGATCACAAGAACAGTGAGCAAAAATCCCAGAACCACACGGGGGGACCTAGTGAATGACCTGCAGAGAGCTGGGACCAAAGTAACAAAGCCTACCATCAGTAACACACTACGCCGCCAGGGACTCAAATCCTGCAATGCCAGACGTGTCCCCCTGCTTAAGCCAGTACATGTCCAGGCCCGTCTGAAGTTTGCTAGAGTGCATTTGGATGATCGAGAAGAGGATTGGGAGAATGTCATATGGTCAGATGAAACCAAAATATAACTTTTTGGTAAAAACTCAACTCGTCGTGTTTGGAGGACAAAGAATGCTGAGTTGCATCCAAAGAACACCATACCTACTGGAAACATCATGCTTTGGGGCTGTTTTTCTGCAAAGGGACCAGGACGACTGATCCGTGTAAAGGAAAGAATGAATGGGGCCATGTATCGTGAGATTTTGAGTGAAAACCTCCTTCCATCAGCAAGGGCATTGAAGATGAAACGTGGCTGGGTCTTTCAGCATGACAATGATCCCAAACACACTGCCCGGGCAACGAAGGAGTGGCTTCGTAAGAAGCATTTTAAGGTCCTGGAGTGGCCTAGCCAGTCTCCAGATCTCAACCCCATAGAAAATCTTTGGAGGGAGTCACTGCTCTAGAGGAGATCTGCATGGAGGAATGGGCCAAAATACCAGCAACAGTGTGTGAAGACTTACAGAAAACTTACAGACTTACAGAAAATGTTTGACCTGTGTCATTGCCAACAAAGGGTATATAACAAAGTATTGAGAAACTTTTGTTATTGACCAAATACTTATTTTCCACCATAATTTGCAAATAAATTCATTAAAAATCCTACAATGTGATTTTCTGGATTTTTTTTGCTCATTTTGTCTGTCATAGTTGACGTGTACCTATGATGAAAATTACAGGCCTCTCTCATCTTTTTAAGTGGGAGAACTTGCACAATTGGTGGCTGACTAAATACTTTTTTCCCCACTGTACATAGGGCAGCAATGTTTTACATTGTGTTACAATAGCAATGGTTATCAACTGTACCGCAGAAATCAAAGGTAAATCACAGAAAACATATTTTGTAGTGGCAGCTGCAGAGAAGTATTTGTGTATACGAGATCTGACTTCAGATGAGTTACAGGATGTGTTGAGTGGTGGTGTCAAGTCCTCCCAGGCCGTTGGCATGGAGCAGATAGGGTCAAAGTAGTGGAATGGGGTAGTGGATTTTTAATGAGTGTAGGGTTAGTTGGAAGGGTGTTTTATTTTTATTTTTTTAGTTTACTTTTATTTATTTTTTAAATTGTATCCCTTTTCCCATTTTGTATCACAAAGTATGATGGATTTATATTATAGTCCAGCTGGGGGCGGTAATGGAACATATTGGATGCCAACCGCCGTTAAACTCCGAAGAAGACGAAGAAGAAGGACAAGAAGTTGTATGGAGCATGCGCATTGCCAGTTTCCCCCCTAGTTGGTTCTGTTAGTACTTCCTCATTGGAAGTGAGGAAGTGCCTATTTTATGTTTGGACAGTAAGCAACGTTTTCAGAATAAAATAAGGCGTAGCTACTGTTTAAAAGTCTGAAGATGTCCAAACCGCCTCCCAAGCCAGCCAAACCAGGTCAGTATTTTATGATACTACTGTACGTGATAATTAGCTAACATTAGATAACTAGTCTCCCGTCCCATCAAGCAAGTGAAACCTACACAACTAGTGAGCGACCCAGCTAGTTAGCTAACGTTGGCTAGCCAAGATGCTAGACCAGTTATATCCTTGAAGAATTTGACATTTCAAATGTCAGTGTCTCTGTACTCTTCTCATCGTGGTCTTTGTCGATCGTTTTGTGCAAGTATGGGGCCGCGATGGTCTAACTTTACAAGCTAACTAATGTGACTTCCCTATTTCGAGGTCCCGTAGTTATCTGGTTAGCCACACACAAATACACAATTGGTTGCAATGCATGTCAGGCAATGGTTTCAATTATCAGAACTCTGGTTGCAGTCCCATCCAAAACGGCTTCCAGAATGTTGGAGTTGTTTGTTTTAGTTAATAATGTTAGACATTTTATATAACTAGTTAGCTACATTGCAGCTGTAATTATGTCTACTAGAAATGCAATGGTCTGCTTTGCTCTATGGTGGTAACATGCACAGAGCAGTTGACCCCCTGGCATTGTAAAAACTCACTTGCGTTTTGTTTGTGTTTTTGTTTTGTTTCTGGTTAACACCTGTGCCTGCCTAAAGCTGCTTAGGTTCTCGAGACACACACTCTCAAAAGGGCATTGAATTATCCAGGGGCTCGCCCAACACATTACTATACCTAGCCACCACGTCTTTAAAACAGCAACGTCTAAAGACACCGGGGATGGCTGGTCATTGTGTTATTTAGAAACATCTTTAAAAATGTCCCTTGTAGATTGTACCCTATCAGCATGGGTTCTGTCTGTTGTAAATTACCGCTGCATTGGAGCGGAGGCTCGGACTGTGAGGTCACGGGTCCAAATTCCGAAATGGACCTGGGGCTTTCTCACCCGGACCCGATATGCATACATTTGTATTTATTTATTTAGAGACCTGTTCCAAACGGACCTGAAGACAACTAGACCCGTTCCGTATAAACCAGGTCGGATCCAGACTCGGTCCGATCCGAGTGAGTAGCTTTTTTAAGCTACTTTATTAACCGGAGCTGATACATCGTGAGAGGAGGGAGAGAGGTGCCGCTCTAGCAGGCGGGGGGAGGGGCCATACTGTGAGCGATCACACGAGGAGGAGGGAGGGAGAGACAACAACCAAGCCGTCTCGCGCTATAGTAGACTAATAGCTAGGTTATTTATAATCAAATATGATTACGTAGTACGTGTCTTGGACTGCATCAAACTGGGACAAGAAGCTAGTTAAGCTAGCTAACTGAGGCTGCAGTGCATGCGCTTTCTGATCCTACAGTAACAAATAACAACAACTCCATTCTGAATATTAAGGAGCAGCCTGCCTACCTGATGGCTCTTGGTCGTTGTAGCCTATCCGTCTCCTTTAACTTTTAATTCTGTCATTTTAATTCCATCTTCCATTGATTAGATATCTCCTAATTTTTGCCACACATGGAGCTAGGCTCTGGCTGTAGCCTATTGCAGCTTTGATGACTTATGTTTGGCCAACAACAAGCTACACATGCCACACTCCACTCTCGTGAAAAGCAAGAGCAGCAGCATAAATGATACAATTTCTCTCGCTTTCTCTACTGCGGCAGTTGCGTTCGGAAATGCACGGGCCCTTCCAGACAAGTTAGTTAAAATTGCACATACCCAAGACCCGTGACAATCATATCAGATCCAACCCAGATCAGTGACATTATTTAGAATTCTAGATCTGGATCGGGTCTCAGGTACAGGTGGATCCATGAGGACCTCTAGCTGAGAGTACTGTGGGCAGGCTAGTACAGTACAGGCCCCGTAGTTTTCACAGGGGCGGGATGGGGCCTGTAGAACCACAGTCACAGAACAGAGCTGAACAGAGCAGGCTTTGTCTATTAACTCAACTGCAGCAACTCACTGGAACACTGGAATAGTGTGTGGCTCAGTTAGGGTGTATGTAAAGAGAGGAAATCTCTCAAGGCTTGCATACACCGGTGTTTTCAAGTTCCCAACTGATTCCCATTCAAAGCATTTTCTGCATTTAGTGTTTCTTATTGGACAAGTAGGCCTACAGGTAGCGAGCCCCTCCCTGTAACACTTTTTTCTTCTGTTTTGTGCCTAATGTACATAACCCTGATTTCTCTGTGCCTATGAACTAGTTTAGCTTTCTCTCAACACTACTCAGGTCACATTCCACCCCTGGGATTAAGACAAGGCAGTACAGTATTTCTTCAGAGGCCCTCAGGTCCTGTAGCCTTGGGGTGTATGGACGAGGGCCCAATGTCTGTTCACTGAGGATAGATCTGATAGAACAACATCTGAAAAGTTGAATCATTAAATTGTTTCTGTAGTTAGAAACCGATAAGATTAGCATTCCTGCAACATTATTTTGGTGAAATTTGATCTCTGAGAAATTAAGCTAATTGTTTACTCGCTTTATATTTAAATACTGTATTATTGACATAGCTCATCCATATAAATACTGTATTATTGATATAGCTCATCCATATAAATACTGTATTATTGACATAGCTCATCCATATAAATACTGCTGTACATACCTTTTTTAGATTGTTCATACCGGACTCTGACATTGCTCGTTCATTTCTTGTTTCTTATTTTAAATGTGATTATTTGTGTATTAGTATTGTACTGTTAGATATTTACTGCACTGCTGGAGCTACACTGAACAAAAATAGAAACACTACATGTAAAGTGTTGGTCCCATGTTTCATGAGCTGAAATAAAAACCAGAAATGTTCCATTCGCACAAAAAGCTTATTTCTTTCATTTTGTGCACAAATTTGTTTACATCCCTGTTAGTGAGCATTTCTCCTTTGGCAATATAATCCATCCACCTGACAGGTGTTCCATGGCCTGCATACTCACCAGACATGTCACCCATTGAGCATGTTTGGGATGCTCTGGGTCGACGTGTAAGACATTGTGTTCCAGTTCATGCCAATATCCAGCAACTTCGCACAGCCATTGAAGAGGAGTGGGACATCATTCCACAGGCCACAATAAACAGCCTGATCAACTCTATGCAAAGGAGATGTCGTACTGCATGAGGCAAATGGTGGTCACACCAGATACTGACTGGTTTTCTGATCCATGCCCCTACTTTTCTTTTCAAGTGACCAACCGATGATTATCTGTATTCCCAGTGATGTGAAATCCATAGATTAGGGCCTAATGATTCAGAGGGGTTGGGTTAAATGTGGAAGACACATTTCAGTTGAATGCATTCAGTTGTACAACTGACTAAGTATCTCCCTTTCCCTTTAATGAATTTATTTCAATTGACTGATTTCCTTATATGAACTGTAACTGTAAAATCTTTGAAATTGTTGCATGTTGCGTTTTATATTTTTGTTCAGTGTAGAAACAAGCATTTCGCTGCACCTGCTTTAACATCTGCTAATCTGTGTACGTGACACATAACGTTTGATTTGATTTAATGTTTGTGATAGTCTGGTCCCAGGTTTTTTTTGTGCTGTATAGCCAACAATGAACAGGCTGTGTGATGCTCTGCGCTGCACAGTCATTTACGTTAACACTCTTGCCCGTTTCCCTCTCTGTTCTCTCATAGGCCAGGTCAAGGTGTTCCGAGCCATGTTCAACTTTGACCCCCGAACGGTGAGTGTTTCTTGTCTTAATGGTTGGTCTAGTCCCTCCACTCTGCCTCACACCAATCCACATTAAAGATGGTGTTTGTTTTGATTTTTGCTTTTCAGCCAGATGAGCTCTACTTTGAAGAAGGAGACATCTTGTATATCTCTGATACGGTCAGTTACTGTTAGCATCCCTTTCCCTCTGCCTGTCCACTTTTCTCCCTGTCTTTTAGTCCCTAGTATCATTTATTCTGTCTGTCTCTGTTGCCCTCTCTCTGTTTTGTTCTGTTTTTCTGTTGTTTTTTCACTCTTCCTCCATCTCCCTCTAATTTTTCATTTTTCTCTTGTCTTTCCCGTATCCCATTCTCTTTTTCTCTTTCTCTCTGCTGGTCTTTTCCCTCACCTCAGAGATACTGGCTGCAATAATACATTTCCATTGGCTCTCATTGCCTGTCTATCATCCTTAGAGTGACAGCAATTGGTGGAAGGGGACCTGCAGGGGAAGGAACGGCCTCATCCCAAGCAATTATGGTGAGTAAACAAACCATAACACTTTGTGTGATAATGTGTGATATTGCAAGTGGCACGCAGAGATTGACATTAAGGGTTGCCCTATTGCCAGGGGCAAGTGGCCAGGGCAGTCACACAAGTTGAGCCTGCTCTGTGGTTTCCCCATAGGGCAGGTGATATTTTATTTTACTGATAACAAGCAAAAGGCAAATAATTCCAGTAGTCTGATCTTTCTGGTTCCTCCTCTGTGTGTAGGTGAAAATAGCCAGTGCTACTTTACATTTTAATCTCTCGGGCAACCAAAACATACTTGTGACATGGGTGAGTGCTTTCAGACCTTAATGTTAGTGCCTGGCACGGTAAGGTGGACGTTGTATCAAAATACAGGTGCCCATCCATGTTGCTAAATACATTATTCCATTGACTTGTCTTTAGATTGAGAAAGCAGGTTCTGTGTTTGATCATGTTGCCATAACCTCTCTGTAGGCATTGTAGGCAACCCTTAAAGGGAAACTTCAAAATTGTTCAACTTCATATTCATGATCTCCAGCAGCACCCCAACAAATGTGAAAATGGCGCTTTTCTATGTATTTATTGGGTATTTTACCCCCTTTTTCTCCCCAATTTCGTGGTATCCAATTGGTAGTTACAGTGCCCGCTTAACCCGGAAGGAATGTGCCGGAGGAAACTCTGTACACCTGGCGACCGAGTCAGCGTGCACGCCACAGGAGTCGCTAGTGTGCAATGGGACAAGAACATCCCTGCCGGCCAAACCCTCCCCTACCCTGGACGGCGCTGGGCCAATTGTGCGCTGCCCCATGGGTCTCCCGGTCGCGGCCGGCTGCGACAGAGCCTGGACTCGAACCAGGATCTCTAGTGGCACAGCTAGCACTGCGATGCAGTGCCTTAGACCACTGCGCCACTCGGGAGGCCCATGCCTACTCACAATTGGTCAAAATCACATGATGCACACCGACGATGTCATTCGAAACACTTATCTTCGTCTATCTTTTTTACCACAAAACATAGAAATGCACCATTTTCACATACTGTATGTTGATGTTGGGGTGGTGCTGGAGATCATGAATATGAAGTTGAAAAATTGTGAAGTTTCCCTTTAATAGCTCCATCTCCTTACTAAGGCTTTCATAGGAGCATGGTGCTCTGTTGAAATCCCATTCTGATTTCTGATTTCCTCAACCTACAGTGGCCGAGCAGGCGGAGTCCATTGACAACCCAATGCATGAGGCAGCTAAAAGAGGTGAGGGACCAAAAGAGGCCTGCTGCATCACTCACACCACCAATAATCTTAAACTACTGTATAGTCCTATAACAAACTATACATTTTTCTTAATATTGACTGTTGTTTGTTTGCTCTACACTTTCTGTAACCTGTATGAATATGAATGGTGTGACTCTAGCTTTATTTGCATTGGGGTGTTTATTTGTGTGTGTATTTGCATTATTGCTTGTGTGTGTTTATGTGACGCAGGGAATCTGAGTTGGCTGAGGGAGTGTCTGGAGAACAAAGTGGGAATTAATGGACTGGACAAAGCTGGGAATACTGCCCTCTACTGGGGATGCCACGGAGGACACAAAGGTAACAGATCATCTACGACACACACACCACTGCTCTCATTGACTGTATACAGAATGTACAGACACGTGCGCCAAAGCACACACACACACACTCAGCTTTTTTATTGAATGACACGGCAAATGCATGTCAGCCTGCAAACACACACACACACTGCAGTGAGATGTATGACAATGTTGTGTTGTCATTTTTGTGACAGATGTGGTGGAGATCTTGCTGGGGCAGTCTAACGTTGAGTTGAACCAGCAGGTGAGAAGAACAGTTTAACATTTGTAAAAGGCTGTTTCAAACAAATATGGTTACATTTTTTGTTATTACAGACGCTTTTATCCAGAGCGATTTACAGGAGCAATTAGGGTTAAGTACCTTGCTCAAGGGCACAACAACAGTTTTTAACCTAGTCGGCTCGGGTATTCGAACCAGCAACTTTTCTGTTTTCTCCGCTAGGCTACCTGCTGGCCAACATTGATACAATGTTTTTAAAGCCTGATTGATAGTATTGATAGCATATTGTATTTAGACTCTAAATGCTCTAAAGGCTCTATTTAGGCTCTAAAAATGAAAAAAATCCAATGATTTACATTGTTAAATAATGCAAATATGTGAGAACAATATACGTTGTGAAAAATGTTTGCATTTCGTCGTCATAATAAATTAGGAAGTTGTTGTGGAAATCTGCGGCGCTCAAGTCGACTACAAACCCCATAATGCAATGCTCTCTAGAAAGGCTGGCTAGCTAGAAAATGTAGCTACACACTATAATACCAAAGTCAATATCAGCATGTGAAGTAATTGGGTAGTTGTAAAGGCCCTGAAACAAACTGCACTATGTATTTAGGAGTTAGCCTACAATATCACCATGTTCAACCTGGTTGAGATTGCGTTTCTAGCTCAAAACTGTGTGTCGGGTTGATATGGCAACGGGCAAGGGTGAAGAGAGGAGAAAACCGCTTTTGCGCCATGGTAGTTGAAGGAACAAAGGATATTAATCTGACGACGCACTGTGTACTTTGAGGACATTTGAACAAAATGTATACTTTGTCATGATGATATACACTGATGGATGTGTTCTAGACAAGTATGCCCATAACACCTATTGGCTTATTTGGTGATCTGGAGTGCAGGTAATTGTTCGTTATCCCCTATCTCCAGTGATGAGAACATTATTATCATGATGACGTATCACGTCACATTTAAATTTAGGACTAGATTACGTTTAGTCCTGAAATTTAAAAAGGATTTCAATGGAGATTCTCTATTGAGCATGCATTTTAGTCCAGGACTAGGCTTAATCTGTGTCTGGGAATGGCCATATATGATGAGAATTATGCTAAGATGTGGGTATGGTGTTTGATGTTTTGTTCCACTGCAGAATAAACTGGGAGACACTGCGCTGCATGCTGCCGCCTGGAAGGGATACTCGGACATAGTGGAGATGTTACTGAATAAGAGTGAGTCCATCTACTTTCTGTTTCATCTTTTTGTTGTTGTTGTGCTCTACCAATTTCATTTCCCATCTCTGTGTGTATGAGCCAGGGTTGGGGTAAATTCACATTGACGTTGGTCAATTCAGAAAGTGATATGAATTTGAAATATTAAAATAATGACACCAAATACCTTCTCCTTTTCAATTGATTGAGAGTTCAGTTTACTTCCTGAATTGACTGACTTCCATTTCAAATTGACCACAACCCTGGTATGAGCATGTCTGGTTATTTGTGTGTTTCTCATCTTTTATCTTTGTGTGTATTTCTGTCTTTTTGTTTCAGATGCCAGGATGGATATTAAGAACAACGAGAAGAAGCTGGCTCTGGAGATGGCCACCAATGCCCAGTGTGCCTCTCTCATCAAGAGGAAACAAGGAGGCAGTGAGTCATTTAGGCCAGAAGATGGCAGCCTTACGCCATCTTTGGTCAGTTTCCCGGACATAGATAAAAGCCCTAGTCCCAGGACTCAAAAGCACTTTCAATGGAGAATCTCTATTGCACATGCTTCTTAGTCCAGTACCAGGCTTAATCTATGTCCGGAAAACTGGCCCTTATTGTCACACAGTCGATCAGGTTCATTGACTGTTCATGATCATTTCTCATTTAGGAGCGCTTTGGTGGTTATTTTTCACCATGTTCCTTTCTAGATTTAACTTGTTAAGTAAGGAATTTCACGCATTTCAGTAATACTAGTAAGAATGCGAGATGCCAAAGCAAAGAACTCCCAATAAAGAACTGTCCAGTCCACACTGGAACATAGTTGTACTTTTGCAGTCATGAGAGGAAATGTTTTAATTCCATTAAATGTAATTGAATCTCCCAGCAATGTTACTGGCCTCAGCTCTTAATAATAAATAATAATAATATTATTATTACTACTTCCTATTTGTTTTATTACAGATATCACACGTACACACAGCAACGCCGATGAGTACCTTGATGACGAAGACTCTGACTGATTCCCCCCTTCGGAGTGGGCTATCTGAGGCCTGTCTCTCATGGGGTGGGGGGAGTTTGGGGGTTGCAGTGTGTGGGGCATAAATAGCTTGGGGGGGGGGGGGGGGGGGGGGGGATACATTTTTACACATATTTTATCCTAACATCTGTTCAAAGAATGGTTAACAAAAGTAATATATTTCATAATAATAAACCTTAGGGCCTTGATGGGGTCGAGAAGGGAGAGACAGACGTTGTCTTTATAATTTAGATGATCGGTTGTTCTAAGGGAACCAATGGCGAGGGTTCCACTGTTGCTGTATCTCCAGGCGAGTCGGTGATTGCTAACATCAGAGGTTGAAACCAAGAGCCTCGACATGCGATTACTTCCTAAAAAATAGACCCTGGACCAATAAGCCTCTTTCCCATTAAAGGTGGTCTGAACCTACATCGCAGGTGTTGCAGGAAGTGACCGCATGTTGAGTCTCTGGGTTCATTTATCTCTGGCGCTAGTAAGCAATGGCTCGCACAAAGATGGTGCGATACTGAAATTAGGCTATCGACATACTTTCCTCTGCTTTGTTTGTCTGTTTAGACTTAACCTCATGCTGAAAGTAACCTAATGGAGTCGTAATACATATGTAGTAATGGTCTGTTAATGCATTTTCTGCATTGTCAAATGTGAACATTCAAATAACCAGGAGCTGGGTTGTTACTGTCACCAATCATATATAATCTCTCATGGAATACGGTCATATTAGTAGGTGTGCTGTGCAAAACATTTACTTCTCCAATATAAATATATTCTCTTCACTGGGGATTTGGAAAGTGCCACTGCATTTTCTGAATTTCCTTTCTATCCCTCTTAAATGTATTGTTGTTCGTCACTGACCGCTACGCCATTGTTAAAAGATATGTTGCTAAAAGTGCCTGAAGCCGTAAAGTGTGTATGTGAATGAGTCACCTGATCTGATGTCTTTCATAAAGATGTTTTCATCATTGTTGATTAATCTTTTTGGCTAACTGCATTGTCTGTACTGTCAAAACTATGCAATAAAATTGTTTTATCCATAATGATTTTGTATATAGAATATTATTTGGGAAAAGGACATGTTTGTTTATAGAAACCCCATTTTATTTTTGTTATTGTGCCACCTGCTGGTCATTTATGTTATCACCACTTAGAACCAAATGTAAGGGATTAACCCTTTAACCTCACTCCTAAACTTAACCCCTAGCCTAGCAAAAGCGCAAAGTGCCTACTCCCGCTCCGGCGCTCGACGTCGCTGGTCTACTAACCACCGGCCTTGGCAACCATCATTACGCACACCAGCTCCCCATTATTACGCACACCTGGACATCATTATTTCCTTGATTACTCTCCCTTTATTTAGCCATCAGTCACTAGGTAGTATTGTTTTGAATCATGTTCTGTATGCTTCGCTTGTTTTGTTTATCTGCATTTATCCTTATTAAACTCACCCTCTTCACCTGCTTCCTGACTCCCGGCATATACAGTGCATTTGGAAAGGATTCAGACCCCTTGACCTTTTCCACATTTTGTTACGTTACAGCCTTATTCAATAAATGATTAAATAAAAAATGTTCCTCATCAATCTACACACAGTATCCCATAATGACAAAGCGAAAACAGGTTTTTATAAATTTTTGCAAATGTATAAAAAACAGATACCTTATTTACTTAAGTATTCAGACCCTTTGCTATGACACTTGAAATTAAGCGTAGGTACATCCTGTTTCCATTGATCATCCTTGATGTTTCTACAACTTGATTGGAGTCCACCTGTGGTAAATTCAATTGATTGGACATGATTTGGAAAGGTACACATGTCTATTGAAGGTCCCACAGTTGACAGTGCATGTCAGAGCAAAAACCAAGCCATGAGGTCAACTGAATTGTCCGTAGAGCTCCAAGACAGGATTGTGTCGAGGCACAGATCTGGGGAAGTGTACCAAAAACATTCTGCAGCTTTGAAGATCCCCAACAACACAATGGTCTCCATCATTCTTAAATGGAAGATGTTTGGAACCACCAAGACTCTTCCTAAAGCCGGCCGGCCGCCCGGCCAAACTGAGCAATCGGGGGAGAAGGGCCTTGGTCAGGGAGGTGACCAAGAACCCGATGGTCACTCTGACAGAGCTCCAGATTTTGTCTGTGGAGATGGGAGAACCTTCCTGAAGGACAACCATCTCTGCAGCACTCCACCAATCAGGCCTTTATGGTAGAGGTGCCAGACGGAAGCCACTCCTCAGTAAAGGGCACATGACTATCCCGCTTGGAGTTTGCCAAAAGGCACATAAAGGACTTTCAGACCATGAGAAACCAGATTCTCTGGTCTGATGAAACAAGATTGAACTCTTTGGCCTGAATGACAAGCGTCACGTCTGGAGGAAACCAGGAACCGATCATCACCTGGCCAATACCATCCCTATGGTGAAGCATGACAGCATCATGCTGCGGGGATGTTTTTCAGCGGCAGGGACTGGGAGACTAGTCAGGATCGAGGCAAAGATGAACGGAGCAAAGTACAGAGAGATCCTTGATGAAAATCTGCTCCAGAGCACTCAGGACCTCAGACTGGGGCGAAGGTTCACCTTCCAACTGGACAATGACCCTAAGCACACAGCCAAGACAACGCAGGAGTGGCTTCAGGACAAGCCTCTGAATGTCCTTGAGTGGCCCAGCCAGAGCCCGAACTTGAACCCGATTTAACATCCCTGGAGAGACCTGAAAATAGCTGTGCAGCGACGCTCCCCATCCAACCTGACAGAGTTTGAGAGGCTCTACAGAGAAGAATGGGAGAAACTCCCCAAATACAGGTGTGCCAAGCTTGTAGCGTCATACCCAAGAAGACTCAAGGCTGTAATCGCTGTCAAAGGTGCTTCAACAAAGTACTGAGTAAAGGGTCTGAATACTTACGTAAATGTGATATTTTATAAATTTGCAAACATTTCTAAAAACCTGTTTTGGCTTTGTCATTATGCGGTATTGTGTGTCGATTGATGTATTTAATCCATTTTAGAATAAGGCTGTAACGTAACAAAATGTGAAAACATTAAAGGGGTCTGAATACTTTCCGAATGCACTGTACGTACAGAATACTACCTCGACATATGGAAGCAGCAGAAGATAAAACCATCTTCCAGATGGTCAACGAACAGGGTCATGTACTCCACCAACACCACGACCAGCTGGCGCAACTGGGTACGGCTATGGAGGAGGTCCTCCGCATTCTCCACCACCTCGACACCACCAGAGAAGATATTCATACCACTATCAGAGGGCCTCCTACCACGGGTTGTCACAGTGAGCCAGTCTCCCAGCCTACCCAGCAGTCCGCCCAGGTCAACGATGCCCGACTGTCCCTTCCGTAGAAGTATGACGGTACTCCATCATGCCGTGGTTTCCTATTCCCTCTATTTCGCCTATCAGACAGGAGCCCCCACCACGAGAGGTCCAATGTTGCCACGGTCATTTTCCTGCAGACCTGGCGGCCGTTGGAGTGGGCTACAGCAGTCTGGGAGAGAGGAGAGGAGGAGCTGGGTTCCTACGAGAGGTTCATGGCTCTGTTCAGGGTGGTCTTCGACCATTCTCCAGAGGGCAGGGAGGGAGGTGAGCGACTTCTCCAACTCCATCAGGGTGCCCAGACCGCTGCGGAATATTCCCTCACCTTTTGGACTGTAGCAGCCTCCAGCGGATGGAATGAGTTGGCGCCCTCGCACCCTATTCCGGAGAGGACTGCGCAAAGAGGTCCAGACGGCATTGGAGTGCCGGGATAACAACCATTTCTTGGACGCACTCTTCGCGATGTCCATCCGTCTGGATAACCATCTTCAGGAGCGCCAGTGCCCACCTCGCCACTCGCCACCCTCCCTGTAGCAGAGCGGTGTCGCCGGAGACAGCTGGGGCTCTGCGCCTATTGTGGCTAGGAGGGTGTCATGACTTGCCCTCATGGGCTGAGGATCAAAGATGCCGGCTAGGCAAAGGTTTGAACGCCCGCTCTCCTGGGGGCCAGTTTTATGACCGGTCATAAATTCCTTGCAGAAACGTTATTTTCCATGCCATGCAGTATTGGGAGAGGGAATTTCCCTGTGGAACAAAGGAAGTCACCCGCCAAGACTCTAACATCCAAAAGTGGATAATGAAACAATATTATACTTTAAAGAATGTGGGAAATGGTCGGTGGGGACTTAAAGAACGATCATGTCAAATTCGTTACTATGTTGTGATGTCATTAAAGACGGTGGAACAACATAACTGTATCTCTGGGGGTGTACACTTCCCAGTTATGAGGTTTGCATCTAATTGTTGTATAAAACAAATGATTAGGTATTATAATACTTTTGTGAAGAGAACAATGTGATTTTAGCATTCTAGATGAGATTATTGTTTTCCATAATGATTTGTTCTCAGTCAGTGGCCACGCCCAGATGAGCACAAACATGATGGAATGCCCCTTTTACCCCGAGGGCATAAAAAGCCTTGCAAAACAAATTAACATTAGACCAGGAAGCATGAAGCTGAAGCTACACAGCTTAAAATGGTTAGACATAGCAGGCTACGGTATAAGCCGGATGTTGCAAATGGTTGAATTTCTACCAGACCAGCAGACATGAAGGGGGAGCTAAACCTTACAAAATGGTTAGACCAGACAGACCAGAGAATGTGAGAGTGGCGACTGCACGTTTGAATATGGAGAAACTCTGAAACTCTCTACACGAGGTGAAGAACAAGACAACGCTCTAGACCTTATCATCTCAGTCTGCAGCTGGCATGTATAGTCGTCTAGAGAACTTTCACTAAAGACACGAGTTGGGAAGGACAATCCCTCTCCGACAACCGTTGGTACATCTATTCTAACAGATCAACTCTACGAACTACAAGGTACGCTGAAGTATCCATTCTAACCAGCACTACGACCAGAAACTCTACCAAGGACATTGGGATCTCTGGTGGGCAAACCAGTGTCCTACATCATCAACTCAACTATCGAAGACAGCTACACGTAAATATATGTTGCATTTCTAATCCGAATGAGCGTTTGCTAAGCATTTGTATTTCC